ACAAAATGGATGCCTGTTGCAGAAGAGCCAGGTGGGGGGGGGGGAAGAGACATGTGCCTGAGGCTTAACACGTCTTGTCTGTCCCTCCATTCCTCATCAAGTGGTGTATCTCTTGTTAATAATTCTGCCTTCACTCAGGTCTTTATGTCAAAATAGATGCCTCTTCTTTTTTCGGCCTCCTCCCCTCCAGCTCAGACTTTTCTTCGGCCAAGTGCTGGAAGGAGGCTGCGTTCTTTGCTGAACTTGCTAGTAGAAAGTTGTTGTTTTTCTTGTTGTCGGGGCTTCGTCCAGAGCACAGATCCTGCCAATGGAAGGAGAATTGTGTTGAGAATTTGTTAATGTCTTCTCAGGACATAAGCAGAGTTAGGAGATTCCAGGTTGCAAAGACACCAGAACACCAAGAGAGTAAAATATTTCATTGCCAGTGAAGGCCGGTGTTTTTCCTTTCATGGACCAGTGAGGAAACAAAAGTGCCCATCCATGCACAGATTTTCAGCTACAACATTCTTTTCAGCTACAACACTGGTATTTGTATTTATTTATTTTTTTATATCACTTCTGTGCTGCCTTTCTGCCATGAAAGGGCTCAAGGCTGTTCATGGCAGAATTCAAGCGCTGCCTCCCAGTGTCCACACCATACAAGGCTGAAGCAAGTGTCGACAGAGTCAGAGAAGAAAAAAAAGCTTTGCTTTCTGGGGGAGGGGGGTTTCACACCAGGCCGAGGTTATGGTGTGTTTTTGTTCTCCAGAGGCAGAAGCAGTGCAGTCCTGGATCATGCCATGAAGAGGGGGATGGAAAACCACATGGGAACACTCTGTATCTTGAAAACCCTTGGAAATGCTGTCCTGTTTTGCTTCCGTGCAGGATCAGCTTCGGTGGACCCCAGTCCCTTGCCAATGGGTACTGACTCAATAACTTTGTGCTTGTGTGTCATTTGATGACACTTCTTTGTGGACATTTTTCTCTTGGTCAGTCTTCATCCTTCCGTGCCTAATTGTTGCTCCTGTTGCGGTTTCATGGGATGTCAGCTGTTCCTGCATTTTGACATTTCAATTTTTTAAAAAATGATATCACTTCTGTATCTTAGCACAAATGTTAACTTTAAAAGTTCAATGAGAATGCGGAAGTTTGAGAAGAGTGGATAAGTAAAAACAGGAAGGGAAGGGAGGAGAGAGTGAAGTATGCAAGAAGAAGGCAGGGAAATCGGCTTTTCCAGCCTTCTGCTCTAAAACAAAAGTTTTGCACCACAGCACCAATGTGAACACTAAAAATACAAAATTTAGTAAGATCAGAAAAGATTGGAGAAGGACCCCCCCCCCCAAAATAAAACCAAAGGGAGGAGAGAGTGACGTGGGTGGGAAGAAGGAGAAGATACCAGCAGTTTCCATATTCAGGATTTTTATATTTCAAAATTGCTGAAAATAAAAGGAAATTAGAACTACAAAACTTTGGAGTGAGTGTGGGAAATGGAGTCAGGAGTGAAATAGGTGAACAACCCAGTGCATCCCTGTATATCCAGCAGCAAATACTTTTTCCATGTTTGGACCCCCCCAGTACTGGGACGATCTGTTCAAATTTGCAACAACCACCAATGCCAGACCAACTTAGGGCAACTCCAGAACAACCGGGGAAAACATTGCAATATGAATGAGCCCGAAAAGAAGGAAGAAGACAGATCTTCACAAGTGAGGCAGGTTTCCACTTGAGCCGGGACTAGAAATTTAAATGCTTGCCGGTGTTGGCCTTGCAGAAAAAAGCAAGGAATTGCAAGATGATTCTTCTCCCTAGTGTGTATGGCAAGGCATGTTGTGGGCCTTCCAATAAAGAGTTCACACCATTATGTGTCTGGAAAAACTACCCATTGTTATCCAAGACTGCCCATTTCTTTGCACGGTTCACAAAAGAGGGACATTCTCTCTTGATGCTTAGAATCATGTGCCAGGATACAGATCCCATTTCATGAGGAGTCTCTAAGCGGAATCTAAGAGGACCACCGTTGGGAGAGGGCCGTGGTATCACTACCCCTTCTCGTACAGCACATATAAGGAGGAGGAGCACTGTGAGGAGAAGTTAGGGCAGGCACTCCCTAGTCATTCCTATAGAGAATGAGGACTGCCCTGTGCTATGAAATGGGATGGTGAAGAGTGCAGCAGCCATGTTAGTTTTCCTGAGCATCTTGTGTCACCTTGATTCATGATGGCATCTTTTGTCAACCGCCAGGCAGTGGGAGCACCGTATTGCAGGGGTCCACCTCTCCTATAGATTTGTGTCTAGGAAGGTAGAGCTGGAAGGCAATCGTTGGACATGATGTCCTGTGGCATTCTGTCTCAATCCCTATGTTATTTAATATCTGTATGAAGCCAGTGGGGTAGCAAGTTCTGAGCTTTGGAGTCAAGAGTCTCTTGCTTGCCACCGAACACAAAGGAAGCCATCAGTACTGTTCGACTCATTAATGAGACTGATCAAGCCGAAACACCACCCTGACAAGTTGGAGTAGTGGCCAATCATAGAAAATCTGGTTCGGAGATTTAGATTGAATTTATTTCTATTTCTTGACTCTGCACCCTCTCCGAGTTCTCAGAAGGCAGAGGTGGGAGGGAGTGCTTTTGTGTAGCTTCATTTAATGCATTGACTTTGACCTTTGCTAAGTCCACTGGATTTGGCTAAATCATTGATGCTATAGTTGTAGTCTCCCTTGACTACTGCAGTATTTTCTACGTGGGGCTGCCCTTGAAGTGTGTCTTGGAGTTTCAGTTGATACAGAACGTGATCGCTTAGCTGCTAACTGAGCATGATGTCAACGTGATGTTACTTCAATAAGAATAAGCCTGCACTGGTTGCTGATGGCTACCTGGGCCCAATTCGAGGCAATGATTTTAATTTTTCCTTTATTTTTCCATGATGCTTGCTTGTTTCTGTGAATGCAGCTGTCAGTTGAAATGTGGGGAAATTATTCAGTTGAGTTCAGCATCACAAACATGACTGAACACTCAGGGATTCAGATCAAGGAGAGCTACGCAAGGGTCTGCATTTCGTCTTCCTGAGGCCCATTTTATGGCCCCGGCTCTCCCCTCGGCCTCCCTCCCCCTCCTTTCCCATCAAAACAAGGTGGTCTGGAAATCAGCCAGTGTGGCGAATCATCTTCTGCAAAGGTCAGGAAGTTCCTTCCTTGCTCTGCTCGGCCTCTCCCCTACTGTTTTAAAATACTCTCAGGTTCTCCCTGCCTCCACGACTGTGCCTTCTGGGTCTCCAGCTAGTGCTTTGGGTTCAGCCCAGCCTCCCTCCCAATGCCAGGGCCCCCCTTCCAAACACCCCCAGTGTCCCTTCTTCCTCCACTTCTTGCTGTTGGATCAAAGTTTAAGCCCCTCGTAGTCCCTTGGGCTGCTTCACTGGCGGCTTCTCAGCTGAATGCTTTGCTGTACTGGACGTTCTGGAACCCAGCAACAGTGTTGTCCTGTACCAGTCTACTCAAGTGTAAATCCAATTACAGGCAAGTAGTTGTCAGGCTTGCACTGAGGTAGGTGGGCCTCTGTGCTGTGAGGGTCCGTTTGTCTTCGCCTCCCCCATTTCTAATAAATCATGGGATGATTTTGAATTAACAAACTCAGCTTCGTTTATTAACTCGGAAATGTCCAACAAACTGGGAACAAACTTCTCCTGAGAGAGCAACAGCTCCGACAGGGGCAACCAATCTTCATTTCCAAAAGGGTTAGATAACTTCGGGGCCCATGGACCAGCCTGAACCCTTTTGGGTTCTTGGGGTACCCCGTCTTTGGGATCAGGGATCAATAGAGGGGCGGTCGCCTCATCCCCATTCCATCCCCAGAAAGGGGACCCTTCACCAAGTTGGGTGTCCCAGGGCCCAGGCAGTACCCCATCCTTCTCAGCTCCTCCAAATGCCAT